ACACCACCGTATTAGAGTAAAATCCGCACTTTCTTCACAAAAAACCGAACGTAATAACACTTAACCTCACTCGACAACGGGGATATGCTTTGATCAGTGGTCACTGAAGAGTGTAAGGCTGCCATCTGTTTATGATAATGTAAAATATTATGATAATCTAAGACTACTTCAAAACGTACTTAGTGATCCATGTTCAATGATGTGTTTTGTGCTGCTTGGAGACTGGGCACCCACTTCTCACAACCAGTGTTAGTTAACAATGGATTAATTTTAGCACATCTNGAGGATAGTTTTCCTTATTTCCTCTTTGTACTAATTTACTTGAAGTGACTTATTGTTTTCATAGAATGTATGAGGTTAAAAGGGTCTATTATAAATTTAATAAAAAATCACAAAAATTCAATATTATATTTATTACAAACAAGGAGCATTCACATTTTGGTGCATTAATATTAGTCTACCACTCACTTACACAATAGGCACAAGACATGATATGTTCCAGTTATATAGCAGGAAGTATATGAACATAAACAGTTTAATTTTCACACAAGGCTTGTCCAAGAGTAATTCTCACTATTAATGCTAAATAAACTGATACTATTCAGTACTGTTATGACCAGATCAGACAGCTCATCATTGTTTCATACTCATCAGTGCCCCTAGTGCAAGACAGCACTGATAACAGTGCTTGGCTTCTCACAGAGCAAGGAAGCTTCTTTATCAGACATCACTACTGGTGCATGGCACTGGCAAGTACGTGCCAGAACAGTTATGGTCTACTATCAGTAATTCACTGTATAGACAACACACCTTTTACACTTGTCGAGCAAACACACATTTCATACACGATGAAGCATCAGAGTAGCTTCTTATGGAGAATATAATACTTAACAATGTTCCATAAAAACATATCATTGGATTGCATTACACAAGCACTTTGTATATTCTTTGCTCTGCAGATGATATAGTCAGTAAGGGAAGTTATGACATCATTATGTCTGGCCCACAGTCATCCAAATAATGAAAACAGAGATTCTAAAGATCAAGACAGGAACATGGGTCACCATTCTCAGAATTCTGCAGAACAAAAAACTTTCACAAATGCTACACAGACCCATGTGACCTCAGCAGACTACAGCGTGGTTGCATTTTATGCAGATTTGAATTATGTGAATGTGAAATAGTGCAATATAAAAATATTAATAAAATCTCAATTTATGTGCAAAGTTTGAAACAATGCAAATCCCATTATTATTATTATTATTATTATTATTATTATTACTACTATTAGTCCTATGAGTAATCTTGTCTTGAATTATGCAAGTACTTCAGGAATGCATCCTCACATAAAATGCAACCGCACTATACATGCATGGGCTCTACATGGAAATGAAAGACTGAATAAGCACATAATACTCATAGTTGACAAGGTGTGTGGGGTCTAATGCTAACAATTAATCATAAAGAATTTAAAAAAAGACATTAGAAGTCTATGAGGACAGCCAAGAAGTTTTATGCATGGTCGCATCAGTATGTAATGAAATGTGTGAACGAACTCCCCATTTGAGTGGCATTAGTACAGCTATGCAATTGGCAGGCAGAGCAGTTGTTATGTTTACTCTCACAGTGTTGAGCTATGGATAAGGACTTTCAAGTGTATGAATATGAGGTCAGTGATCAAGTTCCATGTGATACTTCGAAATAAGCCATGCAAGTGTCATAACCTGCTGAAGGAAGACTCAGGGATCTGCATCCTGTTGAATTGAATTGTCTGATGGTGGGTGAATGCCATAATGCTTAGTGGGAAGATGCAAGAGATGCCCCCAGCAGTGATATGCTTGACAGCACACTGACATGGTACAATGTTCAAATTCACAGCATTTTACTTACAGCAGAAAAAAATATAAGTCTTGCCGGCACATCCTTACCGAATGTTGAAGGAAGATGATCTGTTCAAAGTGCCCCATGTCAAATGATGGTCAATGTGTTTCCATCTACAATCATTTACAATGTTAATCAGATTTTGTTGGTGACTGAGTCATGGATGTACTCATTTGACCTAGAACTGAAGCAAGAAAGTGCTGAGCTGTGGCTGCTGGTCTCACTATGGCAGAAGTATTCATAAAAATGCTGTGCTTTATAGTGCATATTACATGGCATTGTTACATGCACTGTGTTATGCAGTTCTGTTTCAGAAAGAATAAGAACTGCTGGAATGTCATGTGATCTTCCTCCACAACACATTACCCCATTGCTTGCTACCACGATCCAAAACGCTTCCTGCAAGGCCGAATCTGGATATGCTGGTACACTCTCCTTATTCCTTGGGTCTGTCCCCATACTTTGTACTGAAGCAGACTACAGCCTGCTAGAATGATATCCATTTCTGCTTCATGTTTAGGATATCCCATGTATTGACCTGGACACTAGCTATTCTGCAGCTTTCTCAGTCTCTCCAGAAAAATGCTAGGACAGATCAATGGCTTCTTCAGTTTACATCCTTTCCAGTTCATCACTTACAGCATCCTACCACTTGACACTAATGCAACTGGAAAGTGTTGGTAAATAAACTAAGAACCAACCAATATGATTTAAATCTGAGGAGCAAGAACTGTATTTTGTGTTGACTGTGCAGTGGGAACAGTAATACAGCTGCATTCTTCTAGAACAGAATGCAATACATAATTGTATTTTGCCTGGATTGAAGCACCAGCACTTGTATATTAATTGTTTTACTAAAATGCAGTTATATTGACAAACAGGATGTAAATTAACAGCTACAATAGAATAAAAAAGTAAAAAATAAATAGTTTTCATAAAAATGTGTTTCCCAAACCCACCACTTCACCCCATCCTTCATAAAACAGTGGTGATATATATAATGATATCGTGAGAGTAACCCTGGCCTGAAATAAAATTTCCCTATTCATCTGGATTCATATGAAGTCTCTGATTATCACAGTCTCTGTATCGAGAAATGGAATGTTGATGCAACTGCAACTCACTTTGCTCCTACTATCTGGAGGGGGACAGTGAACCAGGATGAGGCTGAAAATGAAGATGAACACTACTCAAATATAAACACATTATAATTACATTCGTATGTGCCCTTATTAAATATTTTAAATTAAAAAATACTAAATTAATGGTCCTTAGGAGCTAGTAAGGCAACAAAAAGTTGTGGGCAGAACACTTCTTTACCCAAGGGCAGCCAAGCAATACTGGTGACTGTTCTTGATACTAGAATTACAGACATTCAATACCTGACAGTGATCAAACCTCACCTCAAAATCTGGGACATATGTTGACACCCTGTCAGTATATCAGATTTCATATGCTTATCTATGGTTCAGGAATTTGTTTGCTCTTCTGTTCGTACTTCACTACTTCCCAAACACTGTTAATATATCCATAAAGGGAAAGTCTCTCTGATATTCATTCCCGTATCCTTGGTTTCAGGATAAATGCCTATGAACTAGATATTTCTCACCCTTCACGTCCTGTCTGGATGACACGGCTGATACAGAACTTAACACTTTATCTTCAAGAACTCTGCTGCTGGCCTTCCTCCCAGTCCAGCCATTTCTTACAACACACTAAACGTTTGGAGTAATTAACAATAAAGAAATGACAGACAACTTATATACATTCAATTTCAATTCTGAAATTGAGACTTCAATTTTGCATTTTCAGATCTCACATTTTTCCTGATTTTATGCACTTTTTTTTTTATTGGCCCTGACCAAAAGCCCAAAACAATGTTACATTTTAACTGATTTTAAGTTTCCTTATATTTTCATTTTTCTTGAATTTGAACATTATTTTTCAGCGCCTAAAAGTAAGTTTACATTTATGATGCCCTATTTTTGAAAACTCAAACATGGACCCTATTGAAGATCTATCTTATTAAAACAGGCATATCTTTGCATATGTAATTTTTTTAACCACACATGAGCAAGTTCAACAAATTCAAGACATATTTCCGTGTTTGCTGTTACACCTGGATAGCTGCAGCCATTTGTTTTACTATAAAGATGATTGCTGATATCTATGCTTCCTCACTAGGTAGTGAATATGTGGCAGTCCATTTATTAATTAATATTTTTGGCCTAAAATATGAATAATATAGTAAAATTGAAAACATTTATGATAAATGGTACAAGTAATACAACACACAGTGATGCACATATTGGAACATGCATTGAACTGGAATCATGGTTGGGACTTTCAGTGTCTACATAAAACACAACTGTGAAAAACTACAAAGAAATTTAAAGATGTTCATGTGAATCCTTCTCCAAACAGCATAATTTTTTTAAACATCCGCAACGCATGGATATTTTAAATGACATGCCAAAGTTATGATAGTATTATGGCATGTCCACTGAAAGCCGGTACAGTTAATTAGAGAAAATGCCTGTTACTAAGTTATGGCACAGTAAACATATCAGTGTACAAGGGGAAGTCAATAATTATCCGCAATGCAGTTGTATTTGTGTTTCTGTTGGCAGCACTGTTGTTTTGCACAGCATCGCCATGCGTGGTTTCCTCGTCATTATTTCTGCGCATGTTTGATGTTGCTAGGTCAGTTCCATCATCGCTGCCTTGCCGTTAATCATGGCTGTTTGTTTCTGTTTGCACCAAAGAAGAGCAATGTTCAGTGATCCGGTTTTTGTGGTCAGAAGATGTTTCAGGGGCCGCAATCCATCAAAGACTTTCAGCACAATATAGGAACAGTGTTTTGCCGCAACGGAGTGTCTAAGAATGGATTGAAAAATTCGAAAATGGTCGCACGAGTGTTATGCGTGAGGAAGGAGCCGGACAGCCATCCACGGCCACAAATGAGGACAACACTGAGCGTGCACGTGACAGGGTTCTGTTAGACAGATGAGTGACTATTGATGAACTGGCAAATTGTCTGCAAATTAGTCATGGTTCTGCCTACGAAATCATCCACAACAGACTTGGGTTTCATAAAGTCTGTGCAAGATGGGTCCCAAAACAACTCACAGTGTTGCATAAACAAATGCGCTTGGACATCTGCCAACAACATTTGGATCGCTATGATTCTGTCTTCTTAGACAGAATCATCACTGGTGACGAAACATGGATCCATCATTGCGAGCCGGACAGTAAACGGCAGAGTATGGAACGGAAACATCCACAATCGCCCAGCAAGAAAAAGTTCAAAAGCCAACCATCCGCAGGAAAACTGATGCTTACAGTTTTTGGGACTCACAAGGCCCAGTACTGGAACATTATCAGGAGAGGGGCACAACAATAAACAGTGCTCATTACAGTGAGATGCTTACTGACAGGCTAAAGCCTGCAATTCGAAGCAAACGCTGAAGACTACTGTCGAAAGGTGTTGTGTTGTTGCACGACAATGCCTGTCCACATACTGCTGCCCACACTGCTGAAACCCTCCGGAAACTCAAGTTTGATGTAATGTCTCATCCTCTGTATACTCCTGATCTCACCCCTTCTGACTACCACTTGTTTGGTCCACTCTAAGAGGCATTAAGGGGCCGTCAATTCACCTCGGACCGAGAAGTGAAGGAAGCGGTTCATGCGTGGCTCGCTGCTCAGCCAAAAACCTTCTTTTCTGAGGGCATCAGGAAGCTTGTGCAAGGATGGACCAAGTGCGTTGAAAAGCAAGGGGACTATGTTGAAAAATTATGTTAATGTAAGTTTTCTATTTGTATTGAAATAAAATTTATAGCTACATTGCAGATAATTATTGACTTACCTATGTAGCAACACAACAGAGGAACTGTGGGAAGCGGTGTTTCTGTTAGGTCCATGCAGAGGTTATATCTGGAGAACCAAAACTGACAAAGAGACAGCTGAGTAGGGAGTGGTTAGAGGTCTGCAGACAAGGCTGAAGTGAGTACTAGCCCATGGTAGCCAGATGCTGCTAGGGGTCAATGGCCAGGGGTTGCGGCCATGAGTGAGTTGTGAGATATGCGCCAGCCAGTGAGAAATGAGGCCGTGGAACATGGAAGCTAAGGAATCTGCGGCATTAGGAGCTGTTACCAGGTGACGATCAGTGAAGACAGTACACTGAGAAGACACTGTGTGTGCTGTGGAACTGCAGAGTGTATGAACTAGTGGTAGCATTGTAATTAACTAAAGTTACAAGTTTTAGAGTCCAGTAAATCCAACTCCAATCTGAACCCCATGTCAAGTCACTTAATATGTGACAATATAAAGCAGCACCCGCATTCTTCTTTATGCTATACTGTTTCCATTTCCCTGATTTTTAAGTTTACTTTGTCTCTTGAAATGTTAAACTGAGGTTTCACTGTACATAAAAATAAACAACAAAAGGTACCTACATTTGATATCCAATTACAGTGGAAAGAACTACATGGCAAAAGTGCACTCTGAGAGACACACTTTGTCTTGTCACAACATGTTACTGCCTGACCTTGGTCAAATATGGGGGTCCAAACAAAGCACCAGTAAACAATCAACTTCAGAAATGACCGTGAAAGTGTTAAAATATTGTGGTGTGTTGTGCTATGGATGACGCCCCTCCCTCCCCGCCAGCCATGACGTGCTGAGCGCAGCCGAAGTGAGCCGAGTCCCAGCACGCTGGTCACTATGCAAAGCGAGTAAACAGCGGTGACGTAACACAGGACACCGCAGTTGCTACGTAGCCGTAAACAACTCCAGACAGCGTTACCAGTAACACCGGTACACACGGCGCCAGACAACAGTGGTGCCTATTACGTGGCCGTTTTCTGTGTTGTCCGGAACGAGGCTAAATAACGAGCAGCAAAGACTATTCACAGTTAGTTCTCAAGTTCTCAAGTTGCGAGTTAGCTACGAGTTAGCCAGGCAGTCAACCTTTCAGTGGTAGTCTAGCATTTGCAGTCTAGTATTTGTGATACTGCCGATGGCAGTAATTGTCAGATTGTAATTTGTGTGATTGTAAGAGCAAATGTGAAATAAAATTCACTATATCAAATATGGCGTGAAATTATTTGTGGCATATACACCCAACACGTGACAATATGGTACTAATGCCAGAGATACTAGGTAGATGAGGAATATGTATGTTCAAGATCTTACAGAATAAGGAACACAGACCAATAGATATCACACAAAATGAGAAGCTAAGAAATGTAGGCAAGATATCTGCAGTGCTGCAGACCTGTTAGTACTTGGGCTGCAGCTCCTTGAATGTCCATTGCTGGTATGTGTTGACAGTATCACAAGGCATGAGAGACAGATGAGAGGTCTGAGGATGGAGGGCCACACACTTCTTGTGTACACGATGGAACAGAGTGCGACTTGTCTGAAATAAACAAATTCACAACAGAATGAATAAATTGTGATAGCACAGTCATTAAGGTAACAGGATATGAGGTGGATGGCCAAAGTTCAAATATCTATTCATATTACAACTCTTCTCTACATGAGGCACCCAGTTTTCTAGCTTTTGGATATCAGAAACATTCTCTTTGGGGGGTCAAGAACCTAAATGTGAAGCCAGCCATTCATCTCCCTCCAGTATCATGGTCTAGAATGCCAAATCATGTGGCAACACTCTTTCTGTTGGCTCACTAGTTTCATGTTCAGTATTCCTGTGTGTAAACATCACAGTCTAAGATTAAGTCTCAAACAGCCCTGATTGGGTACATTCTTAACTTCACACTGCCTTTGCTCTGTTGTCATGGTACTTATACAACTTTGCCTCAGTCACTTTAGATCACAAATATGTATCTCTTAAAACTACACTTGTTAATAGAGCAAATAACCTTTATTGTACCAGATATAAAACCTCTGTGCAGGAGACTGTGGCAGAAACTAAATGATGGAATTTAATTAAAACTGTGCCCCCATTCCTAAAAATACAAATTTCTCCATGCTATCAAGAATAAAAATATATAATAAAGAGAATTCTGTTTCTATAACTTGTTATATGCCACAGACTCATGTATGAATCCATCATAATATCCTGTGACTGGCCCAAACTGAGGTACTGTCCTCACAATTCACTTTAATACGATAACGTCTAAGGCATGCAGTAGTGCACAGACCAATACTACTTATTCCATACTTGGTAATGTGTATCCTTATCTGTCTGCAATTGCTAATGCTGCTTCCGACTGGCTTCCAGGAAGTTTACATCACCATCTGCTGAATAAATGTTTGCCATTCTGTGGCATAGTTATGAAATATACATACTCTTGTGGTGCTCAACAATTACATGTTGCACATCATTTCTACATTTACTACAGAAATTTCAATCTTATAGTAAATGTTTGCACATCTATATTTATGGTTTATAGAGCAATGCCATTGGTAGTTCTGAATATAAAATGAATGGGTGGATGATCTGTGCACAACTGTTGGAAATGATGTGAGGACGTGGTCATGGCCTAACATCAGGTAATACCCCAGTATTTGCCTGGAGGGACAGAGGGAAACTACAAACAACCTTGGTCAGGAGAGTCACTGCCTGTAGGATTTGAACTGACCACATCCTGAATACAAGTCACAAATGTTACAACTTGAGCCAATTTCCTCTGTTGGGCATGACAATTTCCATACTTCAATGGTGTTAGTAGCTCTGGGTATAGTGCTGAATGGTAGGATGAGTAATGAATTAATCACTGGAAAGGATATGGAAGGAAATGTGCAGCAACAGGAATTCCCAATTGTTGTCCAATTTGATACACCTTCCTGGCGAGAACTACAAACGACCTCAATTGTCACTGTCCCATTGAGATTTGAATTGAATGCCTTGGCCAAAATCTGAGATGACAGTATGTGATATATGCTTGTTCCTGGCCCTGTCAATACAGCCTGAGCTAACTTTCTTTGTAGAGTGTACACTAGACAAGGAGTGAGTTGAATACTCCATCCAAGACTTATTTCCTTTCTCTTTACTTTTATATAACCTGCTACTTTCCAAACTTTACTCACTTATACTACTTTAAAGATGGAGGAAGTGTCTTCCTCCAAAAGATTAGTACCCACTTACCAGACTGCACACTGTCATGACCCAGAGGGAAACATATATATATATATATATATATGTGTGTGTGTGTGTGTGTGTGTATGCATGCGTGTCAAACCATTCTATTCTACCAGTACCCCTTAAGAGTGTGTGGTAAACTGTGCACCATCTATATGATTAGGGCCAAAAACAAACACATATCAGGTACTGTCAAGTCAGACTGTGGGTAGAGCCCTTTGTCATGGGTGTTCACCTATTGATAACAGTGTCTGATTGTCTCATCCACTTAAAGTCAGAGAACTGCTATGAAATCAGCAAGAAAATGCTCACAGGGACACAATGATGCAATGTGAGGCATCAGAAACCCATATAGCAGGTATGAGCTAGTAGGTCTGGAAGTCTGATGTGTCATTAATAAATATAACGCATACCATGGAAGAAAAGTTTCAATGTGCTATCATGGGGTACACTGGGCATCACGTACATACTTTTAGAGTACAGCAGTGGGGTAATTTTGGTCATAAAGGTTGAGTATCATCTGTTCATACCAAAGTCAATCAACTCACTCCTCAGAATCCAGTTGGCACAAATTAGATACAACCACAATCACTATCATGACAGCCATTAACTGGCATATCTTCTCAATTCTAGTGCAAAATTAGCCAATGAAAAGTGTGCATTTGGATATAACAGAAGTACGTTTATGTCACTAGAAATTATGCAGAATCATGTGTTTACATCTTTTTATGAGTATGAGGATTATATTTACCTGATCTGAGAAAAATTTTGGTTAGTGGTAAACTTCTTTTACTTACCTCATCATATTCCCAGGGTCCATCCACAGTACCTAGACGGCAGAAGACCAGTTTTATTCCCTGAGTATCTGCTTCAATGCATCGTTCCCCAACACCAAGCTGCCCTTTTGCATTCAGTCGTATTAGCTGGAACATGTTAGATATAGCTAAAATATCGCATCTCTTGTCTTGTACTTCTTTTGGACTTCACCCATCGTCCGGTATATAAAAGACAAAAAACCACGACGTTTCGGAGACTGGATCTGTCTCCGTCTTCAGGTGGATAGGGAAGGGTAAACCTACTCAGTTGGGCCCCTTAGAACGAGCTAGTCTCAATCACTGGGAAGTACAGTATACACCATTGTCAGAATCCTTTCAAGTCTATCTGAGTAACCAGTATGGACCCGGTATTTACCCTTCATTTAGGAAACTGGAATACCAGAAAATCAGTTTGGCCAAAACCCTGAACCATAAAGTCCAGTGACTGAGACTAGCTCTTTCTAAGGGGCCCAACTGAGTAGGTTTACCCTTCCCTATCCACCTGAAGACGGAGACAGATCCAGTCTCTGAAACGTCGTGGTTTTTTGTCTTTTATATACCGGACGATGGGTGAAGTCAAAAATAAGCCAAAATAAGTACAGTATACACCATCGTCAGAATCCTTTCAAGTCTATCTCTTGTCTTGTTCCAGCAACATGTATGGCAAAGTATTTATTGCTAGCAGATTACATGTTCATATCAATCTCACTAGTTCTGTCCACATTACAAAGGGAGAAGACAACACCATATATATTGGGTAATGATGAGTCAGAACCATACAGATTGAAGTTCTGCCTATGAATTTATTTTGGGGGTTAGTGAAATTATATAAAAAACAACAACCATAAATCTCATCTCAAGTACAATAAGAGTCCAGGCCATCTGAACCATAAGAAATCACACTACTCAGCTCATGCAGTCTTTCCTCATAAATTTTGCTGGTGCAAACTCTTTCAGCTGTTGGCAATAAAGTTGTCAGGTTATTGCAGTCTGACACTGCCACTACATTCTTTACTAGAAGAGTGGTGATTTTCTGTTATCTGGAGCACCACAAAAAATATGTGAAGCCCTTCCCTAGGCTTTCTTATGTGCTAAAACCCATTGGTGACAGCAATAAAGAGGTAAATGTTATTTGTAAAGCAATAAATTAATAATTTATTACAAAAACCTCAGAAGGACAACACATGATGATATCATTACAGATCTGATTGAAGGCAAGTACGAGTATGTGAGCCAAAAAAAATATGCTACATGTACTCTTCTGCTAAGAGCCAAGATGGTGCTTGTGAGCCTGTCTTGCTGTCCCATTTTGGAGAACACCATACTCTCTCCACAGCCTGCATGAGCACCCACTGTCAGGGCTACAGAGATATAGCATATTTGAAGCAGCTGTAAGGAAAAATAAAGGGGGGGGGGGGGCAATTTTCAGCTATTTTCTTCTGTTCCATCATTTTTAGTGTTTCAGAAAACCTAAGGAAGAGGTCACCATGGTACCCCAGATAATGGAAAGGAACCACAGAGACTACATGCAAAGCATCTATTAGAAACAATATCTACCGCCACGTCAAAACTTTCAAACATGTCACTGCTTCGTCTGCTTCCAAGTCAAGGATGGGTCATTTATACTCTGCAAGCTCTTCCTATTTATCCAAATCACCAAAAGGTTGTACAACATGGCATAAAACATTCTGTCCGTGTGTCTATGAATTCAACTAACAAGCATCTGGAGGCACTATAAAAAACCTTTCGTCAATCTGGTATTTTGTAAATCCACCACAAGTGAATGATCCAGCTCCCATTTAATGTTCTCCAAAGTAAAGTTATTTTATTGACACTTCATTATAACAACAGTGGTAATATATGTAATAATACAAATGCCATCGTGAATGCAACAATTTATTTGGTTGTAGTTCTTTTTCTTTTCTTCCTCTACATTACATGTTTTGGTCGCAACCGGCCATCATCAGGTGTATTTTTCACTAGGTAGCTGTCACACTGCACACAATCTAAAATCTAAAATACCAGCCTGTCAGTTTTGTTTAAAATCTCGCCAACATACGCTCGGTCAATTTGATTTTAGAATTCTAATTTAAAATTTAAAATTTTATAACTTTTAAAATTCAAAATTTAAAGTTTTAAATCACAGGGATACCCACTCTGTGTCCACATGTGCTGCAGCAGCTATTTCTTATTTTCAGCACCATTCACGTATTATCTGTAATACACAACTGACAGGCTGGTGTTTCAGATTTTAGATTGTGTGCAGTGTGACAGCTACGTAGTGAAAAATACATCCGATGATGGCCGAAACATGTAATCCAGAGAAAGAAAAGAAAAAGAACTACAACCAAATAAACTGTTGCATTCACAACGGCATTTGTATTATTACATATAGAAGTGTATAGTGCAACGGGATGCTTAAATATAATATAACAGTGGTAATACTATTAATGCAATAAGGCTCTGGTGGGCGAAGCATGTAGCACATGAGAAATTGAGGACTGCATACAAAATTTTGGTTAGAACTCCAAAACAAAGTGATCACTTTGTAGGGCTAGCATAGATGGCAGAATAACATTAAAATGTATCTTGGAAAAACAGTGTGTGGACTGGATCAGTTCAGAAAGTGGTTAAATTGCATGCCTCAGATTCTATTAAAGCTCAGAATTTCTTGACCAGCTCAACAACCATCAACTGTTCAAAGCAGACTCTGTAGCAAGGAGTAAGTAAGCTGGTTTGCAAATTTTAAGTTCCCTCACTGTGTCGAATTTACGTGGTTCTAACCTCCACTAAAGATCATACTCAGTTCAATATTCCCCTGATAAATACAGGTATTACATGGGGAATAAACTGTATATTAAATAATGAAGCACAGGTTTGTTGTGGTCCTCACCTGGTTATTTCCAAACCCATGGCAATGGGACATCCCCATGAGGCTAGGTGGGCCATGGCCCAACGTGTCCATACAGTTCTGAGAGGCCACATTGCGTAACTACCAAGAGAAGGGTCAAACAATTAATTACCTGAGACAGATCACCATTGTTGTTATCACCCATACATTCATAAACGCTTATAAAAGCTGGGGCATCTTGCCCCAAAGTGTCCCAGCAAAGTGAAGACAATGCTACGCTGCCAATCTAAAAGAAAACACAGTGAAAACAGCAGTCACAGGCAGCATACAAAACATGCTGCAGTGGTAACAGTAATAAAAGAAATTAAGGCGAAAAATGGGATATCCAACATCACGGTAAAACAATTTATTGGGCTCATCTCTCAGTGTTTCACAGCATTGTTTCTGATCAGAAATAGTTTCATATGTATCTGGCCAGTGCCAGTTCTTTGTTAGAAGTATGGTATGACTCAAGAACAAACAATTCTGTCTTATATTTCTCTATTATATTCTAGTTGCTACTTTTTCAAATATGAAATTCAAGAAATTGTGCTACCATGGACTGGAATGAGTTGGAATGCAGATTGGCAGATGGCCTGAAAGCTGAATGACTGTACTATTTCTATTATCAGGCAAGGAATGAAACATTTTTAGGTACATTCCATAGTAATGCTGAACTTTACATAGCACTTGAAGAATACTGTACTATTTAACCATGCCAATATAATACAGATTAAAAATACCCTGCTCTTGCCCTGCAGCAATATTGGAAAGTAGCAGATTCTGCCAGTTTGAGGAACTACCAACAGTTTGCCAAATACTCTTCCTAGAAAATGAAATAAAAGTAAAGAGAATAGAAATACAAACTGATTCAGAACAGCTGAGTGGGAAACTGGATTATGAGAGATAAGAATGATCTGAAACAAAGATGGCATTATGTAAGGGATAAATACACAGTAGCTACATGCATCATATAGAGATCAGGCATGTAAGCCAAATATAGAGTTCAGAATTTTGTAAAATAACCATAAATTACATGCATGGAGAGATCAAACAACTGGTGCCAAAAAAAATGGCAGATTTATGCTGTGAAATGATAATATAAAATTTAATTAAAAAGTTACAAAAGACAAAAGTGGAAATGTTTATAAAAATCATAAAAAACAAAGATATTTAAAACTGCTGACAGATGAAAATTGCTTTAAAAATTACCCCACTGATTTGAAAGCTTATATGCTGTCTGCTGAAACCTAGTAAACAATGCCACACTTACCTCGCCCCAGTGAAGGTTCGGTGGCAACGCTGGGAACTTGTCATACACATCATATGCAACATTATCCATGAACCACTCAAAACTTTTGCAACCCAGTCTCTCTTTCAAAGCCAGCTGCTCACTGATATCCCCCTTGTCTAAGAATCTGGCGAGGGGTTCCCGTGTGTAGAAGTACTCTTTGAATTTGTCATCAAACCATGTTTCTATCACTCGTTTGTAATTCTGCAATTCATGAAAAACATGTACTGTCTTACTGAATACATATGCTGCAGAATCATTAAACCCCCTCCTCAGTGTTACACACGGCATAAAATTTTAAACCATTAAATACTTCCAATGTACCTATTTAATAATTTATTAATCTTTTTCTTAGTGGGGATTGTACCTGAGATGCTTAAAACATGAACAAATGTGAATTTCTGCTCAACTTCATAAGGATACTGGGAATGTAATTTTATGAACAACATTCACATACAAATGCACATAAGTTTACATAGAAAACATTCCTCATTCTTACTATAGTCACAAGAGGTCCCTTTTTCTTCTGAGAAAGTTTGCCAAAATTGTATGGCATGAAACCACGATAAACATGTCCAACACGTGAACAGGGAACCCATTCAATGCTGCCACCACACTGCCAAATCTACAAAACAGAAAAGCAAATTAGGAACATAAAAAATCACTATACACAACCAGGTAAAATGGATTAAAAAAAAAACAACTATCATGTGCAACAGACACACATGAAAAATGGCAGCATGAAGTACACCAGCAGAAACAGAAAAATACTGGAAAAGTTTTAAAGGTGTGCCTCCATTTTCCAATCTTTTTAGTTTATAATGAACAAGTCCATGAACATGACAGAACTAAAAACATTGACTGAAACCATCAAAGAAACTTGAAAGTCTTACATATACCAAGTACAGGTTCCAAGAATCATCTGGTCATCTGAGTTACAACGCTGTATAGTCTTGCATTTTGTTACCAACATTTCTGATTATATGGTGTTATAATTTATAAGACAGCAATCCAAACTTCCACCACCATGATGTTCTCAAATCTCATATGTGAACAATATGAGTCATCAGTTTAATATGACAGAACAGGAAGAGGTCTGAAACATCTGGCTCATAAAAGAAGAGGCCAGGTTTACTACCGAAGACTACATTATAATTCTGACAACTGAATAACAAATATTGTAAAATTTTTCTACAAGCACAGATATTGTAAACAGTTCCCTAAACTAATACATATAAAATGTTTCTAAACTATTCTTCTCTTTCACAGAATAACTTGGTAGAGCCAGTACTAAACAAAATAATGTTTGCTGAGAGTTTCATACCTTGAAGGACAACTCGAAGTTCTCCCCTCCCCAGACCAGAAGCCCAGGATCATATGCGCCCAGTGACAGGAAGTAGTCACGGTTCATTGCAAACAAACCACCTGCATGAGTGGGAGACCTGTGACAGAAAAGGTGAAAATGGTTTGGTTATTTGACATTAACTACAGTATACAATTCTCATATTATCATTGTCTTCAAACTTAGTGCACAGCTGACATCTGTGCTCACAAATACTTACACAAAGCTGGGTGGACTTCTTTCTTTTATAACAGGATTTTGGAAAAAAAAAAAAAAAAGCGTTATAAAACCAGAACACAAATTGTCATGAGTTCTGCCAGGATATTTCCTGGATGCTGACAGCATGCTACATATACTGCCATAAAGGTATAAACAAGATGATTATGGAACATTTAAAGTCATGGAAAATGTCAATATCCCAACTACAGTCCATGTTAATATATGCAAAGAAAGATTAGAGATACCCCAAGCAGGAGACTTAAGACAAATCTTGGACATTTAATATTTACCCCTTTGGTTTACAGAATTTTTGGACTTTGTTCCTATCTTTAGAATTGACTTTCATGTTAACATTTTAAGTTTTAAAGTAAAATCTTAAGAATTATATTTGAAGACAGAACATGCTCAAGTACCCTAATCTATGAAGCTGATAACTGCAGGTGAACAGCTGCACACACATTTTATCACAAGAGCACAAGTTGTACAGGTTCCAATTTCATCTGCATATTATATGGCAAAACACACCCTGCAATATCTGCAAAATGAAGGGCAAAAGAATTGTCTTAAACATGACAGTACATAATTTTGTAACAGCAACAACAGACCATTCAAGCCTACCACTTGGATGATTAATTAATTCCATATTATTGTAACATGTTGCGCGACTGAGAACCCCCCCCCCACCAGCAGTGACGCGGCGGGTAGGTCAGCGCTCTACTCCCCCCTCCTCCCCACGGTAACGTAGCGCTCCCCGCCAGCCCTCCGCGGTGACGTAACGCGCACCGCTACGTGCCCGTAATCAACGTCCTACTGTGACGTGGCACTCATTACGCCACAGGCAAGCACTGCAGCTTTATAAGTGAGCTGCACAGTGCGTTACGATCGAGTTCTACTGTAGCAGCCGCCTGACACATTTCTAATGTGGACATCGCTGAGTTAAGTAGTCGACGAGCGAGTGTGTTATCAACAGCTCTCCAGTCAGCCGACTATAGTTGGAGTATAGCAGCCGTCGCGGAAAGAAGATCCGGACGTGAGTGTGATTGTGTACTTGGGAGCGTGGGATACAGTGATACCTAGCTCCCCGACTGTAAACGTGTAGCCTACTGAAGGCAGACTGAGCTGATTTGCGCATAGGGTTATAAAGTGTGAAACCCCGCAACAGCGGTAACAGATTAATGCGATTAGGGTTATAAAGTGTGATGCCCCGCAACAGTGTTAGCAGATTAATGCGATTAGGGTTATAAAGTGTGAAACCCCGCAACTGCGAGATAAGTAATTGTAGCCGTTATCTGTAGATTGTTAAATAAACCAGTTAACGATCTCTACGGCGTAGTCGGTAACGTAAACACGTTACATTATATTCTGAGGTGTTCCTCAAAGTTTCTGGCAACAAACAGTCTCATGACTGGACACACTCATGATTCACTTCAATCTAGCCCATATTCCAACAATTATCTGTCTTAATATTATCTTTCAATATCCTTGTCTGTCTTCCAAGTGGCAGTGCATGTTTCCAACATGTAAATGACATAGCAGACACATAATTAGCCTCCTTACATTCACCACTTTTACTTCATCAATATAAGCCAGGAGAATTTTGTCCTCAGATGCTTGCAACACAAACAATAAGTGCAAGGCTGTATAAGGTGTATGACAATAAAATACTAGCATTTTATATTCTATGGCTTATGGAGACAGTGACTGAGGAGATGCAACTTACTTGTAAGGTTCACTGTTGTGCTCCCTCTTTTTCGCTTCTTTCTGAGAAAGTTCGTTTTCTTTATAAAGCATCCCCCATTCAAAAATACCACGATAATGATGTCCACCTTGATACACAGGGCGGTACTCAAAAGTCTTGAAGTCAATACCGTCAATCACAGGTACAGTCATGATAGTCCTAAAGCACACACATTAATTTTTAAAGTACTAGTATCTAACAGATCATGAAAATAATTCCAACTACACTCAACTCTCGATTATCCGATGGCAGATAAACCAGTTTGCACCTTAACCGGGGCTCTTTTGAGGCTTATATGTTGTTTAATATTCATTCACTTTTGTTTCACATGGTGAGTTGTAACACTATTTTCGCACTAGTGTGAACCGAGCTCTGCATTTTTTGGTCCAATTATGCTAACACAATGTTCTAGGGTAGGGTTGAAAGAATGCAATGATTTGTGGAAAGTTTCAAGGACAGATACACCACCCCAGTTAGTCTCTTTGTATCGATCTTCAAATGTGTTAGCAAAATGTCAGGGTGTAAAAGGAAGCGTGTTGTGTTAAGTATTCAACAGAAACTTGAAATTATCAATCAGTTGGGAAAGAGGGGTGTAGTTAAACAATTAGCAATGGAATACGGTATTGGAGAACAAACTGTTCGTGATTTGCTTCATCTTCTAATTCAAGTGGAATGAAGAAGAGAAAAACCATGAAAAAATCAAAATATGATGATCTCGACAAAGCAACGCTGATCTGGTTTAATCAACTAAGGGCATAGGGAACAACAATAACAGGAGCAGTTTGTACTAAACAAGCAATTTTTTTTTCCGAAGCACTTGAACTACAAGGAAGTTTTGACGCTTCTTCTGGTTGGCTAACACGTTTCAAGCAGCGTCATGGAATATGAGAAATTAGTATTCAAGGTGAGAAATTGTCAGGGGACTTTGTCATCATCAGTTCAATTTTGCACCAATTTTGACAGTTTCATGAAAAGTGAAAATACAGGTACGCCTATCGTATTATGAAGGCACAGTATTACAGTACTACTTTTAATAAAATTTGTCTTAAGAGGGTTTTTGATTAATCGTGATTTCCATCCCCACCATTAGCCTGGATAATCGAGAATTGAGTGTAATATTTTAAGTTTTCATAATTTAACACTTTGCGGACTGGCAATTTAAATATTTAAATCACCCTGGGGGCCGGTATTTTTAAACCTACTACCCTAACTTGTGAACTGTTCACTTTAAAAATTAATATAAAATCTCCTAAATAATTTTATGAACTAAAATTTTTGGAGAACACTGCTCCCAGAAGTGCTTGAGAGTGTGATATTTCTGGAAACATTCCCCTTTGTGAAGTGGCATTACATAGAACTTGCAATGTAGACAGTCATACTCCTTTCTTTGTGAACCGTGCAAACACGGCACTGCCTAGAAGGATGCTTCCCCTTGGAATGTTCACTCTTCACAATTTTCACAAGGGTATGTTTCCGCATATAACCCGAGAGTCACCCAGGGGTGTCCACATGAGGCCCACGTGGGGTGGGAGTTGTTGGGCCTGGTCACACGATGTCTGTGCCTGTCTCTGGTTCTGCCGCAACCAGCTGGTCTGTAGCCCAGGCCTTTGCCACATCCATCAGAAATGCTTTGTATTTCAATTTCGAATCAGGGTTTAGATTTTTGTAAACCAAAAATGAATTGAAAATGGCACAGTTTATAAGCCACAAGGCATCTTTCTTTGTCCACTTTATTATTTTCCTACGAAGAGAATAATAGGCCAAGTATTGATCAGCTCTATCAACTCCCTTCATGAACATATTATACTCAGAAATACAAATATGCTTCTTTACTTGTCCATGTGTCCTCTGAACATCAACCATGCTCGAATTGTGAATTGTAGAAATCATATTCACAACATGAGTATCCCTATCTCCAAAAAACAGTTCTGCTACTTCAGACACTTGTGTTGGGTCCAATGGAATTTGTTACACCCCTAGATTTCCAGTAAACTGTTCCAAAGTAGGCGTTTTGTCTACTTTTTCCCATGTGGCTGTCCCTGCAATTTTACTACCTGCACTTCTACCTGCACTTTTGTCGGAGCTACTTTCACTTTTATTGTCTGTGGCCACAACTGTTTGTTGTCCCCTGTCACTGCCATTGTCTGAATCACTATCACTACACATCTCAGAAGGAACGTCAGATAGCGTCGGAGAACAAGTCAGATATTTCGCTTGGTTTTCAACTGCTTCTGTCCTTGACTCATTGCACTACTAACTTCCTGCCTGGTACATAAGAGCTTGAAGGGTCAAAACTCATTTTCCTTTGGAGGGGGAACCCAAACAGCGAGATCAAGTTACTGCCTACTAAGCAAACATTCTGGAATAATATTACACAGTAGTCACAATCTAACGTGTCCTAAAATCATAATAATATGCCACCGGTCTGCCACATTTAAAAGTGCTGGGCATAAAAATATGCCACCGGGCCGCAAAGTGTTAAAAGAAGATTTTTATTTAAATTAGCAATACTACATTATGATGTCAATATGAATAAAACATTATCCTGAACTGTTGTGAAGTACCAGCAAAGAAAGTGTAATAGTAGCAATGGCTACTCTTCCAATATTTATGATCGCTTAATTTAAAAAGCAACTCAATTCACACTCATCTTCTATGCTCATACCATATTATTTAAAAACATTATGAAACTCATAAAATTTGAAATCAAATTCTTCCAACACCTCATAAAATTATTATGACACCTGTAAAGTGTACAGACTCCAAGAACAAACACGTTCTCATAAAGAACTGCCTAAAACTTAGCATTCATTCATTTTATTTAGCATTCATAATTGCTACAACAGTAACACTTGAACAGGTCACATCATTAAATACATCATTCCCGAAATCCTTTTGCCCAAATGCCTAAAGAATTAGAATTTGTCAACAATAAATAATTACTCTTGACATGGCAGTGTCTAGCAAAATGTGAGTTTACAATTATTTTGTGTGTTACAGGAACTGTGTACTACAAGGAATGCAATGCACATGCTGAACATGATTTAAAGCTAGTCAACTGAAGGCAGGGCGGCTGTGTCTTTGGTGGGACGTATCATAGACCAGGAATACGCTGAGACACAGCTTTGGAACACCTCCTCGTGGTCCTGCTGGGCAACGACAGTCTTGGGAGGTCTGCATTAGCATGAGCCTCTGGAGCTGGCGGCCGAGTTTCCATAAAGGGCAATGGCTATTTGACCTGAGCCTCCCACACGGCAGCATAATGACTCTTGGGTTTCATTACGATGTACCCAGGACGAATGCAAGAGAGCACTCCTATGGGGGTAGCTACAGCTATTTGAGTTGTCTCCCTAGAGTACCGATAAGGTGCCACAAGCCTTAGGGCTCAACACTCTAAAATGGTTTTGACCAACCCATGTGGAGGGGTGGGAATGGGGGAGCTTTGTAGCAACCTCCGGGGGCAATAATCTCATGTAGGATGCCCTGGTCGCAAACTCATGACAACTAGTATCGCACTCCCATTTATCATCTGGGACACCCCTCTCCCCCGAACATGCACTCTTGGTCCTGGAGGCTTGTGAGGGTTATACTTATGAAGGACCAACTGCCAAAGCCAAGGTGTGAGGCATTGTGCCGAGGGCTGCATGGCACTGGGGTGGTTATTGGCCAGTGTCACAAATGATCCCCTCGGGGCACCAGGCAGCACCCCGTTGAATTTATGCCTTCCACCCATATGGGGCTCTGCGGGTGGTGACCTTTTAAATCCCCATTACTCGTGGGACCAAAATGAAAAAGGGACCTAACAAGAAAACCGGTTGTAAGGACCTTAAACTGAAGAGGGACCCCCTTTAAGGGGATCCCTACGAGAAATGCTTCAGCAGGGGGCTGGAAGCTGTGGTGAACCATTAGGGGCACAGTTGCAACTGGCGAACCTGCTATTGAAATATCAGCCAAAGGCAAGGATGAACCAGTGATTCAAAACTTGCCAGAGGCAAAACCAAAAACTGCTCTCTTGGGAGTCGGTAGGACTAACACACCACTGCAGAGAGCCAGTACTTCCAACATACCTGTAGCAAGGGAAAGACTGGGACACCTAGGCTCTGGAACAGGTGGACCCCGTCTGGCGAAGAAACCTTTGTCAGGGGCCGCCAAACGGAAGTTACAAAAGGCAAAAGCTGGGACAGGCAAATCAGGAACTGGGAGCGGTCAGCAACCAGGGAATGCAAGCTCATCCAAGCAGGGAGAAACTCCCACCGGCACCTTTAAGAGGCCAAGGTCGGAGGGCAGCACTCCAACAGAAACGGCTAGAACTCTGAAAAAGCCCAGGGACTTACAAGGAGGCTCTGACAAATGTAAAGGTCAGGGAGACTTACCCTGAGGATAAGCTTACCGAAAACGACCAAAATTCCATTCTGGATGCATTGGGCGAGGTGTTACGTAGGATTCCAAAGGAAGAACTACCACACCTGAAATCCTACAGACTGTTGGGAGGTGCACTTATCTATATATCTGCCGACCAACAGTCTGGTCAATGGCTCATCAGAGCCATTGACATCCACAGGCTTAAATCAGGGGCCAGGCTGAAGGCTACTGATGCCAGGAACCTGCCCAAGCCTGTTAAAGTAGCTCTCCGGACTAGGGACACAATTGCCCAAAACCAGGAAGAGCTGCTGAAATGGATTGCAGACCTTAATCCAGGACTCCATACAGAGAACTGGAGGGTATTAGACAAGCAATGTGAGTCAAAAGGCCAAAGGCTTATCCTATTCATAGACCGGGACTCCTATACTATTATACAGAGGACCGGTTATAAAATATTTACAGGACTATCACAGGGGACTGTTAAAGTGCTGGACGAGCCTGAAGTTCGGCGCCGGGCAGAACCCGTGACAGACACTGTATCTTCTAACTCAGTCTCTGAGGAGGAAGGGGATGATGCAACCAGCCCCCCAGATGACCGAAGTAAAATGGATCAGGGGACCTCCTCACATGGAACCCAGTCCAAGAAAGAGGAGGGGCATAAGATGGAAGTTGACACCTCTTCAATCGGAAGAGATCATGAAATTTCTTCAAATCAACCTGCACCACAGTAAAGCTGCCACTGCAGCTCTGTGCCAACAGCTAGCTGAGGGCAAGGCAGACATGGCACTTATTCAGGAATCTTGGTTATACAAGGGTCGAATAAGGGGCTTAAATAATGCAGGGGGAACAGTTTACTCTGTTGTACCCAGTAATAATGCAAGATCTTGTGTTTATATCAGGAATCATGTTAATGCCTTGCCTTTGCTGGAGCTCTGTTCTAGGGATGCAACAGCGGTAAGGATAACATACCCGCATCAAGAAGGCAGCAAGGAGCTGATAGTTGCTTCAGTCTACCTTCCATATGACTCGGATGAACCACCACCAACTAAGGAAATGAGGGACATCATAGATTACTGCTTTAGCAGGAAAAAGCAACTCATCATTGGGTGTGATGCCAACACACACCACATTTTGTGGGGGAGCACCGGCACTAACCCAAGGGGAGAGAGCCTTATGGAATTTCTGGTGAGTTCCAACCTGAATATTCTAAACCATGGTAACGAACCTACCTTTGTGGTTTGCAATAGGAAGGAGGTTATTGATTTGACACTAGGGACTAATAAAATACAAAACCTGGTAAGTAATTGGCATGTATCTGATGAGCCATCTCTATCAGATCACAGATATATATGCTTTAAAATAAGTAACATCACAGTAGATCAAACTACTTATAGGAATCCTAAGAGAACCAATTGGGAGTCTTACAAAGACGACCTAAAGGTAAATCTGGAGACCATCTCGCGTAATATACGCACAATAAAGGATGTTGATCGGTCCGTTGACCAGTTGCAACAGGCTATTATCTCGTCCTTTAATCAGAATTGTCCGGCTAGGACCACTCGCGGACCAAGGAGTACACCTTGGTGGAATAAACAGCTGAGTGGGCTTAGGATCAAAACAAGAAGGCTGTTTAATACAGCTAAAAGAACAGGGCAGTGGGACACCTATAAGGAAGCCCTAACCTGTTACAAGAAAGAAATAAGGAAAGCCAAGCAATCTTCATGGAGGAGGTACTGCCAGGAGATCAATGATGTACCAGGCAGTGCCAGACTCATAGAATCATGGCAAAACAGGCGACCAATAAGGTCAGCACAATTAAGCTGCCTAACGGACAGTATACTCAAACAGGAAGGGAGACGCTGAATGAATTATTCAGAGTTCACTTTCCTGATTCAAAATTGATTGACAAATTGGACAATGGACAGGGTCAGCAGAACCTGGACACTTGCCAAAGCAAGAAGGATAGAGTAGACTGGGACCTGGCCAAAGTCATAATTAATCAATCAAAAATAAGATGGGCACTGAACACTTTCAGACCATTTAAATCAGAGGGAACGGATGGAATTGTACCGGCACTTTTGCAACATGGGGCAGAACTTTTAGTTCCACACCTATGTCGCATATATAGAGCCTGCTTGCCATATGGTTTCATCCCCACAGCCTGGAGGCAGGTTAAGGTTTCGTTTATTCCAAAGCCCGGGAAACTTGATTATACCGAGGCTAAGGCTTATCGCCCTATCAGCCTGTCGTCTTTCCTTTTGAAAACGATGGAGAAACTAGTGGATAGGCATATTAGGGACAGGGTATTGAGGACATGTCCTCTATACCGAAACCAATATGCCTACCAAACAGGTAAATCTACTGAAAGTGCACTACACAATGTGGTAACACGTACAGAAAGTGCAATTGAACACAAGGATATTGCCTTAGGAGCATTCCTTGATATAGAGGGAGCTTTTGATAGAACCTCATTTGATGTAAACAAACAGGCTGCTGGAAGGCCTGCAATATGCAGATGGATCAATGCTATGCTGGAAAGCAGAACCATAGCTGCTACATTATTAGGAGAGATCCTGGGGGCGTCCGCGTCTAGGGGATGCAGGGGGGCATACTTTCGCCTCTGCTGTGGAGTCTGGTCATCGACGATCTCCTGTGGGGACTTAATGATGATGGATATTATGCAGTAGGATATGCTGATGACATAGCTATCCTCATAAATGGAAAATTCCTTTCGACCGTATCAGAGCGTCTTCAATCAGCTCTGTACATGGTCCAACGATGGTGTGAAAGAACAGGTCTTTCCATCAATCTAAATAAGACGGTAATTATACCATTTACTAGGAAGAGAAATGTAGAGGGTCTTAAGGAACTGACTCTCTTCAGTAAGACAATCCAGCTCTCCAGCGATGTCAAGTACCTCAGTCTAGAATTAGACAAGGGACTGATATGGAAAAAGCAGCTGGACAAAGTCATTAACAAAGCCCATAAGGCTTTTTGGACATGAAGGGGCGGTAAAACTTGGGGACTGCAGCCACACGTTATACATTGGATATACACTGCGGTTATGAGACCCATAATTACTTATGGTGTCACAGTATGGTGGCCCAGAGTTAAATTCAAGACAAGCAAGACAGAACTCAGCAAATTGCAAAGGTTGGCTTGCTTAGGTATTACAGGAGCATTTCGAACATCTCCAACAGCTGCACTGGAGATACTCCTTGGACTCCCCCCACTGCATATACAGTTGGATGCAGAAGCCAGGGCAGGAATTTACCGTCTCCAGTGCAGTGGACAATGAAAACCTAGATCTGATGGTTTCAGCCATGCAGACATGACTCAGGACATGAAAAAATAACCCATATTACAAATGGGGTTTGACAAAATGATACTGAGACATGTATATAAAAAACCCTTCACGGTCAGATTTCCTGAAAGGAGTGAATGGGAAGACGGGTTTCAGCCTGACAGAAAAGGGGGACTGATCTGGTATACAGATGATTCCAAGACAAATAAGGGCACTGGAGCTGGTGTGTACTGCCATGGCACGAGGCGGAAACTTAGTTTCCACCTTGGGAGGTACATGACAGTATTCCAGGCAGAAGTATATGCCATTAAAGCATGTATTATGGAGAATTTAGAAAGGAACTATAGAAACAGGAACATCTACATTCTATCTGACAGCCAAGCTGCACTTAAAGCGCTTGACAAACACCAGATCAATTCAAAATTGGTCTGGGATTGCCACCAAACCCTCATGGAATTGGCCAAACATAACAGGGTACAACTGATATGGGTGCCGGGGCATGAGGGTATTGCTGGAAATGAAGCAGCAGACCAATTAGCTAAAATTGAAGCTGAACATCCATTCATAGGACCTGAACCAGCCTGTGGCATCTCTCTAGGAGTTGCCAAACAGGCAATCAGGGACTGGACAAATATGAAGCACAGGAAATACTGGGGATCCTTGACTGGACTCAGGCAAGCAAAGGGACTGAAATCAGGACCCTCTGCTAAATGAGCGAAGGAACTGTTGAAGTTAAACAGGAACCAGCTACGATGGGTGGTAGGACTACTTACAGGACACTGTCACCTCAAAGGACACCTGTTCAAACTGGGACTGAGTGATAGTCCCACCTGTGAGAGGTGTCAGATAGAAAATGAAACAGCCACACATGTTCTGTGTGAATGTGAGGCTTTAACTTATTTAAGATTATGTCACTTGGGTCAGTACTTTATGGAACCAAGCGACTACTTTGGCGCCCCCACATCCAAAATCCTGTGTGTCATCCAAAGCACAGGGTTGCTGAGGGGATAATTAAAAAAGGGGAAGCACAATAGACCTAAGGTCACAGGGTAAGGGCCGAGAAGGCCTACCCCTTATATATTCTCTTCTATTCTATTCTAGTCAACTGAAATGTACAAAAGCATGACACTAATATGACAGCAAATGTTCCCTTTTTACTCTTCTGTAAATGGCTGAAATACCTGATGAATATAAGAACTGTTGTCTCCTACTAAAGATATGAGAAAATAATTCCCTGCTATGTGATCTGTCTTCTGCAATTAAATTTTCACACAAACAGGAGTAAAGTGGTATCACTTACTTGTCTCTGTATATTGGTGCCAACAGTGGTGGTAGCCAGTTAACGTTTACTTCACAGTGAGCATCCAGGAATAGAATAACCTCTCCTCTAGCTTCCTTTGCACCATATGAACGAGTGCGAATTAAACCTTCACGTTCTTTGTTCCGTATAAGTCTTACTTTCCCATCAAATCGTGTTATGTATTGTTCAAGTCTTCCTTTCAAATGGTCTGCAAAAGAAAAAATATTCAATTCAGACAGGACATAAGGTTTATTAATCTAAAACCACACGCACTCTCCATGACTCCATTGCAATTCTGCACACCTAATTACACCTCAGAAGTCCAACTCCAGTTTATTAATCTCCAACTACAGACATTTTATCAAATGTATTCCTTGCAATTTTGCATGCCTAACTGGCCTTTAATGTCATTTATTACAGATAAGTAACATAAAGCTGTCACTGTGCTCAGTGAATTAAGCACTATGCCATGAAGGCATATGGGGGAGTGAATGTATAGATTCACATTTTCTTGACCTCGGCACTAGTTGGAGGTGAGTGGTCAGCTCCATGTCCCTGCTGCTTTAACCCTGGGGAAAGAGGCCCCAGTAGTCATTGGATACGATGGGGTACCCAAAAGAAACCGAACTAATTTTTTTGTGTGCAGAGCTTTTGTAGTACCGCGTTTTGCCGCTATGAGCGCATAGAGCTAACATTCCTGAGTCGATAAGCCGACTACCGTTGCTTCAGAAGGTAAGGACAACTTTCGGCAGAGTTTATAGTGACAACTGTTTCGTGTGACCGTTGTTTTTGCAATGGCCCGAACACATGAAAATGTTGAAAAAATTCCTGAAATCATCAAGGAAGATCGACGACGGACCATTGAAGAAATTGTGGAGCTGTCGGGAGTGACTTGGAGCTCAGCGGCCAGATTTGTGGCAGTCGGGTGACTGGTTTTTCCATCATGACAATGCCCCTGCTCACACAGCCCTGTCTGTATGACAATTCTTGACCAAAAATGGTATGACCCCTGTTCCTCACCCTCCATACTCACCCGACCTTGCCCCGTGCGACTTTTTTTTGTTTCCTCGAATGAAAAGAGACATGAAAGGAAAAAACGACGGAGGCACTGTCAAGCATCTCAAAAGATGAATTTAGACAATGTTTTGAAAAATGGAATAAAAGACTAGACAAGTGTATTAGTGTAAGTGGAGAGTACTTTGAAGGGGATTGAAGGTTTGTGCTTAAAATTTGAATAAATAAGTTAAAAAAAAATAAGTTCGGTTTCTTTTGGGTACCCCCTCGTATGAGGTTGGGTGAACCCCAGTGCCGGTTTGGATGATTTGGAGAACAGCATTTATTACAGGTCCAAATTCATTATTGCAAAGCTAATCACATTATACAGAGTCAGAAATATTTTTTTTTGCAATTAGCTAAATATTCACTGCACTGGAAATTGTTGCAAGTAAAAGTTGTAGATCTTCATGAGACCTATATTTTATTGTATTTATATGTAAAATGTGCAGTTTTTTAGGCAGCTAATATTTTGATTTGAGTTTCATGTAATGTAGGGGTCATACTGGACTGATATGAAAAAAAAAAACCCTGTGGCTTTATTCCGCAAGCAAACTATACTGACCGAGCAACTGTCACTTCTTGGCGAAGTTATTGCCAACTTTGGTAGACAGAGAGTGTCACATTAATTTCAGTTACTGGACTGGACTGATATGAAGCAAAATTAAATTCACCATAAAAATTCTAGTGTACACCTTCAGCATGAAATATCACTGTCAGTGGGGGGGGTGGGTGGTTGGATGGGTTGGTGGGTGGGTGGATGGATGGATATGACCTCCCCATTATACATAGGTGAGTCAATAAGTAAGTTACAAATTGATGTGAGGTATTACATGTTTGAATGAGGCACGTGAGACTATCGCCACTAGATGACAGCAATAGTCCAGTGGCAATTGATCACATTCAATACGAGACAATTGATGTTTACAAAAGGGAAACAGCAGTTGTACGATAGTGGCGCCTCTGAGTGAGTGTACAACCCTCAAGCAGCACTCCATTGTGTGATTTTTGTGGGCAAAAGGTATGGAATCAAAGAATATTCATAAAGAAATGCTTCCCATCTATGGTGAGAAGTGCATGTCATGTCAAGCTGTTTACAATTGGGTGCAGTTCTCTGAAGGGTGAACACTTATTGAAGATGAACACTGCGTAGGCTGGCCAACAGAGATTGCCAAAGAGGCGAATGTGCAACGGGTTGAAGACCTAATCCAAGCAGACAGAATGGTATTTTTTTTTATTGCTAGTGGGGTGGGACTAAGTCCCTTGTACTGCGGCCACATCTGGCCTATTGTACCAGCCCAAGATGATAGGTGAGGGTGATTGTGGAGCAATTGGTGGAATGAAGATTGGCAGGGGAAATCAAAGTACTCGGAGAAAACCTGCCCCACTTTGTCCGCCACAAATCTCACTTAACCAGACCCAGGATCGAACTTGGGCTGCCGCAGTGGGCAGCCAGCGACTAACTGCTTGAGCTATGGCACAGCCCAGACAGAAGGGTAACTATAGATACTATAGCCACTGCTATTGGTTGTTCACACAGCATGGCCTACCTCATAATGCATGACAGGTTAGGTTTCCACAAAGTCTGTGCATGATGGGTGCCGCGCATGCTGACCCCGCAGCACAAAATGCAAAGAATGGGTCTGGCATTACGGCATCTCAATCACTACCACGATGAAGGACACTATATGCTAGCCCAAAATGTCACAGGTGATGAGTCTTGGGTTCACCATTACCAGCCCGAGAAAAAGCGTGCACCAATCAGTGGAAACATCCTGCGTCACCTGCCAAAAAAGAGTTTAAGGTGACACCATCCTCCAGGAAAGTGATGCTCACAGTCTTCTGGGATCAAGAAGGCAAACTGCTCACCGCATTCCAGCCTCAAGGACAAACCGTAAATGCCAACTCCTACTGTAACATCCTCAGGAAACTTCGTAAGGCCACTCAACAGAAGCGACCAGGACTCCTCACCGAAGGCGGGTTGCTCTTGCATGACAACGCGCGTCCCCATACTGCCAACAAGACAAATGAGACACTGCGAAATTTCAAGTTGGAAGCCCTCAAGTATTCTCCACATAGCCCCAACCTCGCTCCAAGCAACTTCCATTTGTTCAGCCCTCTTAAACATCATCTTTTGGCTGAACGTTTTCCCGATGATGAAGCTGCAGAAAGGAAGTCACTGCCCGATTCTGACAGCAGCCAAAAGAATTTTATGCTGCTGGTTTTCAGGTGCTTGTGAAAAGATGGGACAAGTGCCTCAATGTACAGGGAGATTATGTTGAGAAATAAAAGCATTTTTGAAATCAGTACTTTTATTTGTTTAAGTTCTATATCCATTTGTAACTTACTTACTGACTTACCCTCGTACATTCCTTTTATGTTGTCTGCAAAGAACATATACAAAGCTTAATATATCTTAGGAATACAAGGTTAACAAGAAGTAGCAAAATTGCATTCCCTGGCAAAATACTTCAGTTCAGTCTTTGCATGCTTGAACCACAAAACTGTCCAGAACTAATGACATGTTAAGAACAATTATTTATACAGACTTTCTGAAGGAACCACTTTTCTTAAACTTTGAAGAAAATATTACACTGAACAATAGTAAAACCCAGTTTCCATTACACAGTATGTCAAATGAACTTGAATGCATACACAAAACATTAAATAAAAACAAAACTAATTATGTATAACTTCTGTAACTAAAGTTAATTTTTCAAACTTTTTTATAAACCAGATTCAACTCAATATTTTAACAGTGAATTTTTGGTCTTTCTTGTATACTCAGCAAAGTTAGAGTTTCAAATTGGCTCCTCTTTGTATGAAACTTCCACAAAATTACAATTCTTGGGTTAGGTGAGATAGTCAAGAGACGATGCAAATATAATTTATCTCTGGTCAAGGTTTTAGCAGCATTAGATGGAGGTGTCTGGGCAGTTTAAACAGTATATCCACCATATCTAAAGGATATTAAATTTATGTACTTCTCAAACATTTATCAACACACAAAATTTCTGAGCATTATATTCATTAGCAAGGAGCAATATGGAGTTATTTCCTATGAAACGTATATTCATATGAAGTTTCACAATATCAGTCAGTGAATTTGTGTGTATATGATCTTAACGCCTGTAGGTGAATCAAGAAACAGACTGATAAAAACAGCCCAGTAGTAACAGTTCTGTTATTTCAGAACACTAAGAAGAGGCAATCCAGCAAAGTGCAAAGCAACGTTTACCTTTATTACTATAGTCATCTACTAGCAGGACCTCCTCCAGGAACTGTGGGGGAGATCTATTTATCACACTGTGAACTGTCCGCAGAAGTGTGGACCAACCCTCATTATGGAATACAATGATAACACTTGCTTTAGGCAGGTCTTCTGGGTAGTTCCAATGTTTACACCTAAAGCAGTGCAATAACATATAAACAAATATAACATTAAAAGAACCTGTCTTTATATAACTGCTTTCCAGTACTTCCTTCATTGGGAAAGGAAAAGCCAAATTAATGGCTTAAGATTTGACAACTGTGTAATACCCACAGCTAAAGGCCCCTACCCCCACACACAAAAAAAGTGGAAAGAATTGCTGTATGAAGGAATTATAATTCTCCATAAAACGAGTATAGTGTACGGAGAATGGAGTGCTCTGATTGCAAGAATTTGCTGGTTACATAAGGAAACTTTTACAGAAACTGAATATAAAGTCAAAACAATAAGTTCTTGAAGAGTTCTATCTTCTGGGATATAATGCTGTGTAGTCTGTTGAAAGTAAACTAACATTTTGGAGAAACATACTGCCTCCATCTTCAGGGTCAAAGAATATGCCAAGCTAGAAACCATTGTGAAGCAGACAACAAGTAGAGCCACCTGTTCCTCTGCAACGTCAGTTGACTTTCGCTGACTACAAAGTGCTCTATCCCAGAAGACAGAACTCTTTGTACCCACTACTATGAGACCTTCAAATCCTACAACAGGCACTTACTTTAGTTCTTGCATGGCAGTCTTCCTAGATGACACAGCATATAGATGTGGAAGATATAATGCAGCATGATCACAATTTCAACTAAACTCTACTGTAAGTGTACCTGTGTGGCAGGTACCTGTGTAAGTGGCAGCTGGAAGAACTAATGCATGGTGAGTGAATATATGTGCATTACAACTGTCTCTCTGAATTTTATAAAAACTGTATTTTTTTTTTAATTTTGGCAGATGCATGAGAATTCCAGATGTCTGAATATCAGATAACCAGGAGTTTACCATATAAATAAACCTTCAATTATATCATACCAAGTGCGCATGTTATCTAATATTAAATGTGAAATTGGTGGTGATTACAGTGAGCAAGCTGAGAGAATGTGGAAACAGACATTATCCATTTCATGATATACCTGAAGCATGGTATCACACAGACCAAAGTCACTGGTATTTACTGAACTTGCAAAAATAAGAACTTACTCTGCAAGTCTTGTATCTGGGATTGATCGACTCAAGGAGATTTCATCTGAACAAACCATGTTCATTCCAAATTCTGTCAACGTTTGGGATGCATCATTCTGTTGGTCATCCCGCAAAATATGAGGCCTACCACCTTCACCAGCTCCAGTTCTGTCAGCAACATTTCGTGGATCAAAATTCCCAAGCTCACTCACTAACTGAGGTTTCTGCAATACAGTACACATGAAAGAAACTTTATGATTGTGAGTAAAGTTTCTGTTACAGTAAGAAAAACAAAGACAATGTAATGCTCAGAAGTCACTCCAATTCAGCTAGCATTAAAGCACCAAGAAGGTAGCTAAAAATTCACTTATAGGATTGTTACCTTTCATAGGAAATACAAGGGTCGTACTGAAAGTAATGAGTAGGGCCCGGATTTCTATGACATGTCATATTTTTTTCCTAGGGTTTATTCCTATTTTTAAATGTAATTATGCATGTGTCCAGTCATTCTTATTGAAATTATGTCGTTTTTATTGTGCATATAAATGCATATTTTAGAGTTTTATTGGTTTTACAGCATATTTTGGCATAATTTTGAAATAAGGTCATATTTTTGTCATTTTAGAAACAATTCTTTGATATAATGTAAAATTTCAGCTCCATAATGTTTAGTATTACGAAGTAAATTTCAGGCTGGACTGTTGCTTCAAAGTGGAATAGAGTTCAAGTACATGAAGTTCGTATTAAAAACCATATTTTTGACTGGACTGTACTTGCAGTTACAAAGGCGAAAATTTGTGAAATGCAGCATTTATGACCTGGCAAGCCGGCCTTTCCCAGTTGAGGCAGGAGGGAGGCAAGTGTAATGGGTATTCTCCTATTGTACCCCGTCTTACTATAAGGTATATATATACATCCCATTCTTTCTTGGAGGGCTTAGAAGTATTCTATTTATATATGTGGAGGGCGTTATAAGACTTCAGTTTGACTTTACAATGCCTAAAATGAGTACATGTAGTTCAAGGAGTGCAAAGTTGCGTACTTTTGTAAAGGAGTTTGGTGAAAAAGTGTTTAGTACCGATGGCAAGACATTTTATTGTTAAGTTGTGTGGCGTGAAAGTTATGGCAGAAAAGCGATTTACTGTGCAGCAGCATTGTAAAACTTTTAAACATGGTAAATGTTTAAGCAGATTATCTACAAAGGATAGCAGACAAAGTTTGTTGTTTAAAAACAGTTCCACTAATTCTTCTTCTTCTTCTTCTTCTTCACCTTCTTCTTCTGCTTCACCTTCTTCAATGAACAATGGGTCGGAATTTTCGAAGGATTTGTGTCAGTGGATGGTATCTTCAAATATTCCATTAGAGAAATTGCATAATCAGCACTTCAGACAATTTTTGGAGACATACACTAGTCATCCTATCCCAAGTGAATCGACGTTAAGAAAGAATTATCTCTCTACATGTTATGAAGATATGTTAAATAAGATTCGAACATCTGTTGCTGACAACAAGATATGGGTTTCCTTGGACGAGACTTCTGACGTAGATGGGCGGTATATTGCGAATGTTATAGTTGGGACCCTGAAACAAGATCAACCTGGAGAGAGATTTCTTCTTGACTGTGAAGTTCTCAAAAGAGCAAATCATTCGACTATAGCTGTCCTATTTGATAATTCCATGAAGTTGTTGTGGCCAAATGGAATACAGCGAAATAATGTCCTTCTCCTAGTAACAGATGCCGCTCCATACATGAAGAAGGCTGCCAAAGGACTTCGAATCCTCTACCCGAAAATGGTCCATATTACTTGCCTCGCTCATGCATTGCATAGAGTGGCTGAAGAAGTTCGGGGACATTTTCATGATGTAGATAGGCTAGTTTCAAACGGAAAGAAAATATTCATCAAGGCCTCTCTTCGAGTGCAGAAATTTAAACAAGATGCTGTTGGTGTTTTTAGATAACAGAGTTAAGTTAGTGTTCGTACCATGTGCACCAGTGTTTGTCTAAAATATGAACGCAAATATCAGTATTAAAAAGAAAACAATGAATGGTTTAATCCCGTACGAAATGTCGAAATTCCATCAGTTTTCTTTCCTTCAGAGACATAACAGGGCTAATTTGGTAAGTAGGACCTACTATCATATATTCATCATCTTTATTCTTAAACTCTAGTAAAAGTTGTAATTAAAATTGTGAAATTTTATGCCCATTTAATATTTAAGGTCATATTTTACAGTTTTTAGGTCATATTTGACATAATTTTGGGTCATAAGTGCATGCATATATTTATAGTTTTTAGGTCATAAAAATCCGGGCCCTAGTAATGAGCAACAACTTTTTGTAAAGTAAAATGCTTTATTATTGACAAACCAAATACACCACATCAATCTACAGACCTGTCTTAATTTTTCCACACAGTCGCCACTTCTTTGTACACATTTCTCCCAGCGTTCTGGAAGTTTGAAAATTCCCCTTCTGTAAAATACCGTTCCAGCCATCCGAAGACATTGACGCCCTCCTTCCTGAATTGTCTCAAAACGTTGTCCACGCAGCTGATCCTTCACAAATCTGAAAAGATGGTAGTCGGAGGGTGCCAGATCAGGGCTATAGGAGGGGTGTGGAAGAACTTCCCACCCCATCTTTGCAATTGCTTCCAATGTGAGGCGAGCAGTGTGGGGGCGAGCGTTGTCATGCAGGATGATGATGTTTCACCCAGACATTTATGGCGCAATGCATGACAAAACTTGTGCAGCGTCTGGACATAACAAGCAGCATCGATGGTTTGCCCAGGTTCCAGGAATTCGGCCAGAATAAACCCCTCTGCATCCCAGAAGACTGTGCCCATCACCTTCGCAGCTGATGGCACTGTCTTTGCATTCTTTTTTGAAGGAGAATGCAAATGGTGCCATTCCATACTCTGCCGTTTCGTTTCAGGCTCGAAATGGTGAAACCAGCTTTCATCACCTGTCACAATACAGAGCAACAAATCATCGCCTTTGTGTTGATATCTCTGCAGCAGTTCTGAGGTGATGGCTGAACTTTGTGGTCTTTGGTCAATAACCGCAGGACCCAACGAGCACAAACTTTCCTATAGCCCAAGCTTTCAATCATCTCCTGTACTGCATTGTGCCCTATTCCAAGTTTTTGGGCTGTTATGTCCACAGTCACATGCCTGTCATCTTGAATGACCTCATCCACTCTTTCCTTGTTGCGTTCAATTGAGGCTGTTTGAGGATGACCACTCCGAGGCTCATCTTCGATGCTGGTGTTCCCATCTTTAAAATGTTTCACCCATCTTCGAACACTGCTCACACCCATGCACACGCTTTCATAAGCATGCTGAAGTCTCTGGTGAATTTCTGCAGCAGGGATTTCCTCTTTCACAAGAAATTCAATGACAGCACACTGGCAAAACAACATATGGTTGTCGGCCATTTTGTTAGGAGTGATACTGGTCATGTGATGCAAGCTGTAGATGTCGCAAGACACTCAAGGTTAACACAACAGCTGGTTCCACCTACCGCTTTAGTCTCTTTTGTCTGCGGTTTCCAGGTTGCATGCAAAAAAAAGTTGCTCATGACTTTTGGTATGACCTACATATAACATGGAAGAAAGTAGCCTGGAGACAGCCCTAAGAATAAAACACATTTAAACAGAACAAGCACTGTAATTACTTCACCTATGGTAAAAGGGAAATTTGTATGTGTGCTTAACACTGAACCATGAGGATATGTGGGGAAGAGGAACTAAAGCTATACAGAATCCTAACCTTGGCAATGCATGGGAACTGACCCAGTCATTTCTGGGAAAAAACTCAGTAGCTGACTTGACCACAACCAGTCAGTCAGAATGTGGTAATGAAAAAATGCACGCAATGCTAGAAGTTGAATCACAATTATTGCTTCACTGATCGAACTATCTACATGTTTTATGTAACACTGCAGATGAAACTGAAAATAATGAGTTGCGATAGAAAGTAGTGCCACGAGACAACCCCCTCCATACCTCCCTGAAGCCATTATGCTTACTGCCCAGCATACTTCCCTATATTCCTGTCCAATTACACGGCCATTTCATTTACACAAATATTGGCAGTGATAAGCTAACATGTTGCATGCATCAATCCAACATGTCAGGTACAAAGTGTCAATCTCAACACTTGGACGTCATACAATTTATTTGCAAAATTAGAAAATCTGTAAAAAAAAAATGTAACCCTCATCTGTTACAAGAAAGACTCACCGTTTTAACCTTCTTAGAACTAAAGGCACTGAACTTGATATCTTCATGACTGGACTGCAAGAACACAATGTAGATCAGAGGAATTATACAAAGTGCGGCAGCAACAAGCTTGAACAATCGACTTTTTCTTAACTGGACAATCCTCATCTCTCAAGGCAGCTTATCATCATATGCAATGTTAGGACTCTGCAACAAATATGTAATTTTGTACTCATGTTCATTTTAGCCTTAAAGAATCCAAGGATAAGAGGCTGAACATGAAAAAGTCAAAGAGTTGCTATATGCCACATGAAATTTCACATTTTGTATTTTTCAGCTAATGTTACAGTGATTCAAATAAGGAGAATCAGATTACTAGGGTGGATTCCATCTGAAAACCTCACATAAAGAGACCAGTTGTGTGACAGATGCTTAGACTGAGCACAAGAGCAGCAAAGGTGGCTTTGTGCAGCTCAATAGGCATCTATATTTCTCTTATCATGCATTATTTGCACAGTGTACATGAAATGAATGCATACAGATCTGGTTGTGCCTGTCTACTTGCATGTTTCATCTTGAAAACCAGCAGATGGATTCTGATGAAATTTTGTATGGTCATTATGCCACTGGAGGCCACCCCAAACTCAGACTTTAACATTTCTATTTCTTCTTTACTGGCGCTACAACCCTGTGTGGTCTTATCCTACTCCATGGTTCTCTGAAAGTTTCATAACAATAAATATTTGTGAGTTGAAGTCATTAGCCCCATGCCAAACCCCCAACCTGGAAGACCAGGGACTACACTTCATCTGGTCCCAATACTTTGATCTGTCATGGTGGCCTTAAATGTCTGCCAGCTTAGCTTTCCATGTCACTGGGATGCACAAACCTCCTCTTCACAATAAGGCAGTAGTCCTCGAGGAGGTTTATATTTTCCACAATTGGTTATATCAAAATGACAGATTCATGAACTTGTAATGTGAGAGTGACAGTCCTACCTTTTAATGCAGAATCATTAAATTATGCCCAATAATTTAAAAATGTGCAACTTTTGTTAACAATTTCTTTTCAAATATAAGACAACAAAATGACAGTTGCAAAAAATCTAGATTTAGCTTTCGGTTTAACAGATAACTAGTGAACCGCTGGAGTGGAGCATGTGAAATTTGATATGAAGATATACACATGCTTACAAATCCTGTATTAAATATTGTTTCTAGGCCAGCAATTCAAAATATCGTGGCAGTGTGAAACTTTATGTTAAGTGCAACAATTTTGGCACAGTATAAACATTATATTTGAAGTTTCAGGCCTACTTAATAGTGTTAACATCTTCATGAAATCTACCTATAGCATTTATATTTATTTTTCACTTCACGGACCCAATCATCTCCCCGTAGGGCTGGATATAAAAAATGTCACATACTACAAATTTATGATGACTACACATCATACATCCTTGGTCCAATAAAATATATAATCAGGCCCCACACAGATAGCTCAAGTTGTCAGGACAACACACATAGGTCTTGGAAAAACCAGTGTCAAAGTCACACCTTGCCATTCCACACACTCTGGCAAGCCATATCATCCAAACAGTTACATTATAAAATATTAAAATTCATAACAAAGACAGACATCATACGTACTACCACACTTAAAACAAGCAAGTCTCAACACTGTATAATTCACGCACACTGACCATTTATTAACTCTTAACTTTTAATCCCCTGGCATGCTCGACAAATTCATCAATAGAGTGAAATGCGTTACTTTGCAAATAATTTCGTAAAACAAACCTAAATTGCTTTTTATCATTTTTTAAAACTGTGATATTTGATGGCAGAGAGTTAAATAGCTTGACGCCTGAATAATACACCCCTCTCTGATAGGATGATAAATGTGTTGAATGTATGTGAAGGTGGTCATTCCTTCTGGTACAAATCACATATACAGAGTTATAAGTTTCAAACCAATAACTCTGTATATGTGATTTGTACCAGAAGGTGGTCATTCCTTCTGGTACAAATCACATATACAGAGTTATTGGTTTGAAACTTATCCAGATTTTTAACAACAGATGTCATCAATGAGAGCAAATAACACATTGGATTGGTAGTTTGTCAAACTTTTTGAATATATCTCTGCATGTATGAGTTTGGCCCACTCCCATCATTATTCTTATTGTTTTCTTTTGTATAACACAGACCTTAGCAGCTAGAAGCATGAAAACTGCAAAGGCGAAAAGAACACATGTGGAAACTCTGTGCATTCTGATAAAGATTACATCCTTCCAGTCTTACTTATTTATGGTTTATTTATTGACATTGTCAGTATTTCAGCTTATTTAATATCAAATTGGAGGGTAATACAAGCCCTAATTAGAGGTATTGTCCCAGCATTTGCCTGGAGGGTCTGGGGGAAACAACAAGTTTCAGTCACGATGACAGATGTCCCAGCCAAGATTATGGAAGACACATGATTTCATTCAGACAAATTTCATGCACTTCCTAGTTCCAATACCAAAATTTCCAGTTAAAAAAAAAAATATCAGTGCTTTTGTTCTTAATGTATAAGTCTTTATTTACAATAATAGAAGCTATACTTCAATTCAATTTTATAAATAATTTGTAGGGATTTACAACTTTCAATACATATTTCAGAAATAAAACTTACTAAACATTAGAAATGGTGGACATAATTTATAAATGTGACGATCTTCCTCTCCAGGTTCCTAAACCTCAAAACAAACATTCTAATATACTTTACCTAACAGTTAACTTGGCACTGAATGAACACTTTATTTACATTTTACTCGAAATAAAATCTAATATTAATATTCTACATAATCGATCATTGTATTCAAACACTGAAGAGCTGAAAGGATTAAAAAAAAATATTACTTTAACTTGGGCTTACTTGTTTCCGTGTAAAGCGGCGCCTAAGTAATTATAGCAACACTTGGAAAGATGAATGAACTGTGTACCAAGCTTACATTCTTTAACTTACGCACTTCGATTTGTTGTGTTGTGTTGATTGATGATTACGTGGGAAATTATTAATACCTGTATCACTGACACCTCTTCTGGCATTAAACAATTAAAGACGTCGTCAACACCGGTACAGACAGTCAAAGCAAACTAAATGTCAATTTCGGTGAATTTATTCGTAACCTTCTCAAAACATACAAAACAAACAACCAACGTGTCCACCTGTCATTCCTGCCACCGATCACCTCCTTCCTCGCTCCACGACCTTCCACGACTCACTCTACTCCCTCTACTCCTCGCAACAACAATGTCCACAGGTCCACTGGGTCCACAGTAGACCGCTTCGTCCAGAGATGAGAACCATCTATTGTGTACTCTGCAGATTTCTCTATTGCGACACCGGTATCTCAGTCGGTGAGAGATGTCTCTTTTTTACTTTTTTTCGTTTCCGCCCAATGGCCAGCTTCAACTGCAGTATTAGGCAAGAAATTTGTTCTGAGTGAACCTTTCAGAGTTGTCATACAGCTTCCCCACCTCCACGGCAGAATACAAAAATTAAAATTTGATTGATCTGGCTCAGGATAGGGACCAGTGGAGAGCTCTTCTGAACACGGTAATCAACCTTCAAGTTGATGGGAAGCTCTTCAGTAGCTGCACAATGAGCCACTGAAGCACGTTACAGGACAGCTGATTTTTGGGAATCCACGCCAACTCAATCGTGAGGAGACTGGCGTACACCGTTGCCTGGAAATTGAGTTTCTCAGTCTCCCAGCGAGTTTCGTTGCCGTTTCCTCAATTAGCGCTGCTCCATTCAACTCAGGCTAACTAGGAAATCGCGGTTGCCAGGTTCCCTGGTGTGCCCCCGCCTAACATTCAATTGTACACAGGTACTCGTTACGATAGCACGAACTCCGCACTTCATAGTCAAATGACATTACATGACTCCATCCTACTGTAATTCCCATAGACTTTCGTATTTGGCAAGAAACAAAAAGACTGTGTTACACATATTGCTGAACCATTATCAAAAAAAAAAAAAGTACATTACCATTCCGTTTTCTTGAACCGTGACCATGTTTTGTCTCTGGCTTCGACATTATGGATACGGTATACAAACTAGTTTAATATGTGTAACTAGTGTCCTTCCTTAACAAAGTCATAACCACATATTTTAAATGCAGACGACTTTATGTTATATTACAAACTTAACATAAGTAACACTGTCTATAATACCAGAACAATAAACGCCTATCCACTACTACAGATCACAAACCACATTTTAAAGGTAACGTTCGTCGCTGTCTTCCCACCGCGGCGGCCCGGGTTCGATCCCGGGTCTGGTCTAGTAGGATTTGTGGTGGACAAAATGGCGCTGGGGCAGGTTTTCTCCGAATACTTCGGTTTCCCCTGCCAATCTTCATTCCACCAATTGTTCCATAATCACCCTCACCTATCATCAGCGGCTGATACAATAGACCGGGAGTGGCCGCAGTACAAGGGACCCGTCCCCCCCACTAATAATAAAAACAAAATAACGTTCGTACCATACACAGCAACTCGACCCGCCCCCACAAGCAAAACAAGATTTAGCAGATGCAATCTTAAAAGATCTTAAACGATCTTAAACATGTGTAAAGGAAAATAAACTAAACCGAATCGGATAAAAAAATACATTACAGCAATAAACGGTAACTTAAGCTGAAGGATGACATCACTGCTGATAGTGGGCGTTCGAGTTCCTTCGAGTTATTACGGAGTATAATAGCCCCAACTTCACGAAGATTGCTGTTTCGTTAGCTGCATACCATTATTAACGGGTACAGTGGGGTGGGGGGAGGTTGGGGAGCTCTACTACAGTACACCCGCAACCTTCGGCAACTAACTGCCAAACATGCACGACTCATAGCGGTATCCCGTGGAAACTCAGCTGCTGACACCCTGACGACACCACAAACTACTGTACCTTCTATATTGAGCTACCTTCAGCAACTGACATTAGATGGCCGACGTCAGTGCCGAGAGCACTGTCGGTAAGAAAGCATCCTACCCAATGCACATCCAGCGAAACAGGTCAGACTTAGGTAATTTCTTCTATACAGTGCACAACTGGAACATGGGCTCTGACAGACAAAAGAACATAAGCAGTGGATATTCTCCACAAAATATTAAATAACGCGTAAAACAAAATCATGGCCCATTATTTGGACTTCATCCATTATAGGATTTAAGACATAAGATTCTAAAAATTATGCTTCAGACATCCCATCGCCTCTTTGAAGAGGTAGAGGAAGCCAGGGTCTGAAACAATCGAACTTCCAGAACTGCATACTTCAAATTAGACAATGAATGAAGACCAACGAAGGCCTTAAAATAACAGTATGTGGGAACATCTGAGTCTGAGTCTGAGTC